TTGACAGTGTATGCGAAGGTATACTCAAGTCCTGTTTCGCTCTAGTGTTGTAGTTCGTGTTTAAGTCCTTGTTCTGCAGAAACTGGCCCCTGTGATTGAAGGTGTAGAGTCCGCATTTATAAATATATAAACTCGGAAGCGTTAGCAAGTTATTATGCTGAAATATTGCTCTACATGATTCTCTCCTTTTAATGTTAAATATCAGCCTTACAATACGTTTCTGCAAAATAAACACTCTGGACGCGGTGCATGCTTGTCCCCAGACGATGGTGTGATTTGACAGATGCGAATACACCATTGCGTAGTACACATCTATCAGCGTGGATTTGGGGACATTTGGCTTTAATTTCAATATCGCATAGTAGGACCTATTGATTTTCCTGCATACACTGTCAACTTGTTGCTTCCAATTTAATCCTGCATCCAACTCAATACCCAGGAAGGTCGTAGAGTCTGAGATAGTTCTGTTAATGAGACGTGGAGTACTAGAGTTAAAGTGAACAACTACCGTCTTGTCAGCATTCAAGATCAGACGATTTGTTTGGCACCACACTTCCATCTCAGATTTTATGATTCCAATGTTAAGGTACATATCTTCAGGCGACTCTGCAGTTACTACAGCCGATGTGTCATCAGCATAGTTCACTACTGCACCTGAGAGCTTCAGATCGTTTATAAATAAGATGAAAAGAAGTGGTGACAATACAGATCCCTGAGCTGCACCTATATTTATTTTATAGGTAGCTGACTGCGCATCGTTTCACTCTAAGTTCTTTGTCTGTCAGGAAAGACACTAGCCAGTCCAGCAAGAAGTCTCTAATACCCATATTGAAAAGTATCTCCCTTAGCAAATCTACATTAATGATATCAAACGCTTTGGACAAGTCCAAAAATACTCCAGCAACCAGATGACCCAAGTCTATTGCTAGGTATATGTGGTTCATAAAGTCAAAAGAGGCTGTCTCAATCGAGCGTGATTTCCTGAACCCATGTTGGTTATTGGAGATGATGTTGTATTTTTCAGTATAGCTGGCTATGCGCGCGTGCAGTACTTTCTCAAATATCTTTGAAAAAACTGACAGAAGAGATATTGGACTATAGTTTTCGACTTGAGAGGGATCTCCCTTTTTCAATATAGGTACCACAATGGCCAATTTAAGATTTTTAGGAAATTTATCTTGATGCACCGACATGTTTATGAGCACAACTAGTGGACCTGCAATTTGATGACACACACTTTTAACTATTCTTGTTGACACACCATTACTTCCACACGACTTATTATTTCGAAGGTTGTTTATCACATTGGTCACTTCGTCTTCGGTAGTTCCGCTGTAGAACATTGACTGAGCTAGTGAGGTTGTTGACAGAGTTGTAGTTGTGGGCTGTCCTCCAAAGTGTACATGGAGCTTCTTCTCTGCTATTGTAGAAAAAATACCTACCAAATGCGTCGGATGTACCTTCGCTTCGCAGATCTCCAATGGATTCTATATTTAAGATTATTTGATTGGTACAGCTGCTTCGTCCTAGTTCTTTGTTTACAATTTCCCATACCTTCTTCGGTTTATTTTCTGCATTTTCAATTAGATATTCATGATATCGTTTTTTAGTAGTTGTTAGTAGTTTTCTGTGTTTACTTTTTCGTTGTAGGTAATGTGTGTGAGTTCTACTTAAAAATCGCTACTCTTTCTAGACACGCGGCATTAAAATGCCATAAGAAAGTATTGAAGAAGTTTTCAAACGCCGTGTCAAGGTTTTCACTTTTTATTGTTCTTATCCGACGTGACTTGCTAATGCTTTTAGTGGATTCGCTGGTTGACGTGATGGAGATCGAGAGCATTTGGGCAGTGTGGTCGGATATATGTGGATCAAATACTGCACAAGTGATGAATTGTGGACTGAGATTTGTCGTCATGTAGTCTATTGACGTATTGGATATTGTGTTATTCCTGCTGATAGCGTAGCGTGTAGGTTCGTTGCAGTGATTTACAAGGTTGAACGAATCTAAAATGTATTGGTGTTTATAGTTTGGCGAGAATAGTCAATGTTTAGATCGCCGCAAAACATAATCTTGTCGCGTGTGGCTGATACGTGATTGAGAATTTCCGAAAGACTCTCGAGAAAGGTTCTTATTTTACCAGATGGCGGACGGTATATACCTATTACAATTACGTTCGTTTTTGTGGTTTGCAGAGTAGCTATTGTACCACAGCATTCGATGTGTCGTTCTACGGAAAACATCTTGACATATGGCAGTTCCTTGGTCACGCCTTGTTTCACAAATACAGCACAGCCACCATGAATATATTGGATTCTGCAGAGAGTTGCTGCGTTTGTATACCCCTTAATATTAGCAAGACTTGCTGCATCAGACGTCAGCCATGTTTCCGGGAGGCATAGTACATCAAGTGTTGTCTCATCAACAAAATCATTGAGAGCGTCATATTTGTTCTGTATGCTACATACATTAAGATTTACTATTTTGAATGTGTTAATTTTTGTGAGGCTGTTCGATGAAAAAATGATTCCTGTACGTCCTTAGTTCCTTTCGCTTTACTTGAAGTCGACGGTTGTTTCAATGGTGGCAGGAGATGTTGTTCCTTGTTGCCCGGATGTATGGAGCTTGTTAAAGATGTTCTCTGCAACATTGGAAATTCCTGTATGACCTGATTGGCTTGACCACACTCATCGGCAGACTTTTTTCTAAGAGGCAATATCGGGTTCACAACGGCGGGATTTTTGCTTATTTTATCGGCGTTCACTTTTTTTGAGGTATTGATATCCTTTATTATGTTGCATATCATGTGTTTACCAGCATTATTAAACATGTTTGAGTTTTTCTTGCAGTTATAATGTTGAAGGCAACTGTCTATATCAAAGAGGTTTGCGGTATTTTCCCTTGCAGTATAACGTATTTGATCATTAATACCTTGAATTATACTATTTAGTACGGGACGCCTGCATTTCCACTCTGGAACTGTTGCTACTATGGTGTTAGTGTGTCCCATATTTCTAAGAATTCTCCCTAGCGACTCATTGTATATGCAACCTCTGATATGGGCATCATTGGATCCTGCCAGTATGAGTATATAGTCCAACTTGGTGAAATCAGACGATAGATTTAGTGCGTCCTTCATTATGTCATGCATCTGGCCATTTGGGCTCACCATTGCCTCCACTGTTATTTGGCTGAGTGGCAGAATGTTTCGAAAAATATGGACAAGGTTTCGCCCATGTTCGTCTGCAAGAATTAGTAACTTAGGCTTGCGTGGTTCATTTCTTTTTCTATTATTCGAAAATGATTGAGAAATTTGGACATGCCTCGACTCTTTGCTGGCGTGTGTTTGTGTGGCCGTTTGCTTTGTTAGAGCTGCATCTGTTTGTGTATTTTTGTTAGAAACCACTGTGTTTCCTTTAACTTTCTCAATTATTCCTTTGACATGTTCTATCGTTTGTTCAGGACTTCGTTATTTAACTTTTCGATTGTAACTTTCAACTTTGCAGTGAGATCATGCAGATCTTCATTCTTTGCTAATTCTGAGGCTAGTTTATTCCTAAGATCTAACAGCAACTCTTCCTGCAGCAATTAATGATAATACCATTCATATAAAGAATATCTGCTTCAGTGATGAATGCACATTTTATCTAAATGGATTTGTTAATAATCACAACTGCAGCTATTGGAGCAATGGAAAAGCTCATGCTTTTGTAGAAGGGCATGCACAGTACCCCCAAAAAATTATTGCATGGGCAGGCATTCTAGGAAACAAAGTGATTGACCCATTGTTTATTAATGGCAATTTGAGTGCACATTTATTTGGATATGTTTGAAAATACCATCAATCCGCTTATCACTGAAACCATTGAAAACCAAATCGAAGAGAATGAAAACCCTATTCTTGATGAGGCTGAAATATATTTACAGCAAGACTGCGCTCCTCTTAACTATGTTTTTCCGGTTCGGCAATGGCTAGGCGACGAGTTTCCAGCTAAATGGATAGGGCGAATAGGGCTTATAGAATAGCCTGCTAGATCTCCTAATTTGGTGCCATTAGATTTTTTTCTATAGGGCCATTTGAAACCTATTGTGACCTGAAAGTTTCGATGAACTTTGTCAACGCATCATCGAAGGCAGCCGTGATATCCCACAACATGCTTTTGAAAATGTCCTTCAGGAATTTGAACATCGCCTATATCATTGTTTGGCCAATAACGGGCAATATTTTGAACACTTACAAAGTGTGTTTTTGTTTTCTTTCTGAACAAATTAAGATAAGTACATTTTTTTTTTAATTTTCTCGAAAACGAATTGACTGATTTTAAAAAACCAAACGTTAAAAAAACACCTTTCAAACAAGCTAATACTCGATACCCCTTGAAACTTAAAATTTTCAAGGGAATGACCCTGGGTGAAGTAGTTTTTGGTTAAAAAGTTGTCTCCCTTGACAAATCATTTGACGTGTCTCGACGTTTTTTCTTTTATTTAGTGGTTTTCGATAAATCCGTGGCGGGAATTTTTCAAATGAACACCCTGTATGTATTAGTAGTCAAACATGCTGTGGAGAGAAAGAAGAGTCATAATTAAGGAATTGTTGATTAACGTCTGCGCCAAGCACGATCAGAGTGATTCCTTTAGAATTAATAAAAAATGACTCCATTTTCCATTTAAAGAAAATTATAGACTCTTAAAGATGACGTCAATACTTCAAGAAAAAATCACGCTTGAGCCTCCCTTGTAATTATTTCCAAGATCTCATCGAAGTAAAAGGTATCCTTATCTGCAGCAACAGTTGAAAGGTGGCGACGCTCGTTTTCAATCGGAGTGGGTATCTGGTGGTATATGTTAATTAATGGTAAAGTGGATAACAATTCTGTAATTACTGAATTTTGTGGTAGATGGAAAAAACATTATCCGCTTTTAAGTTTTCATTACACTTTTTCACCAAATGAGTTTATTTTTATATAATCATAAGCTGCAATAACAGAATTAGCAATAATACCTGCTAGTCAGTGCGTTTACCATTTTGTGCAAGTCTTCTTGAGGAGGTTTTACTTCAAATTTTTCCATACATTTCACCTTGCTGATAAGCTCGTCGAGATCCCGTACTGTTGCTAGTAGCTCATCCTTCTCCTTTAGCTCTTTAGCAGCATCGTAAGGAGTAAGGGTACCAGGAGGTGCCCTCAATTGCTGGAGTTTTCTTTTGAAGGTTTCGTTCAAAGCTTAAAAATCAATTATTATGCAATCAATAGTAAAAATAATATACAGGGATATAGGCATTCATCAGATAATACTGGTGCTCCGACTGAAGAAGGCCATACCGAAACAGGATGCTCGGAGAGAAAGAGAAAGTGCATTCTTTACAGCGAAGTTGCCGCTATTGACGAGATGTGTTCGTACCAGATCAAGTCCTCGGTGATCTGGACCCCGACTAGCCGAAATAAACGGCTCTTTGGCAGAACTCGGCCATCCATCGAAACCGGATGAGCGCTAGGACGGTTTTTGTTCGTCAAGGTACAGTACTGTGATTTGAGTCAGTCGCTCCTAGTCTTTTTTTTTCCAGCTCACTGGCAGACATCGACTTGTCGCTCTGAATTTCTGCATGTAGAGTGATGTCATCAGCAAAGCTGTGAATTGGATTGATCAAACACGAAAGAAGGTCTTTGATATGTAGGGAACAAACGCGTTGAAGTTGTGAGATGAAGAGAAGAACCCGTCAATTACGACAAAGACCTTGTGACCAAAAAGAAAATTAGCCACCCATCTGTAAAGCTTCTCTGGGAGGCCATAAGAGTTTGCATAAGAGGACAGCATGCCACAGCCGTAAGACTAAATGATTGCTGATAAGAGCACCCGTCTCACGGTGTTATGTCTGAATTTTACTTCCATATAACATAGTGTAGGGAACCCTTTGAATCTACGGCACTCGGGCGTGGGGGAACGTCCATGGTAGGGTTGACAGCAAAGATCTATGCAAGCACTTCCACCTTAGCCTTTGAATCGGTTTCAATCGTTCGATCATGACACGTAAGTGGTGGAACGCTACTCTGTGGGAAGTGCCTCTGAGTCTGATTGACAAGCGCCCAAAAAGACCCACTGCCATTGCGCTGCGACATTATTTGTTTCTGGACTCGACGGAGACTTGTCTGTTCTCAACAGTGGTGTTCTGTAAGAAGGTTGTGTGTGCCTTGATATTCTGCTGACGAGCTGTGTCGTACGATTTGTTGAACCAGCTGATGGAAAGAAACGTCTCTGTAGCAGAAGAGACTGCTGCGGACAAAAGCCACAACTCCCCCGTCCTTTTGTCAGATTGGAGTGCACCTCGTAGTTTGGGAAGCTAAGATGGTTAATCGGCGCAGAATCTGAGATATCTGTCTCCGTCATACATAGAAAACCCAGCATTTTAATTTTAGATATTCAGAATAACCAATCCGAAGGCCAAATGCTACGGACTCTGATCAAATAATTAAAACGCGGTAACATTTTTTAAGCTAACTGTTAGCTAAAACAGATGCATACGGGATGCAGTGGCGATAGCCTTGTGTGCTCAGCTCTTGTTAATCCAATATTTTCTTGTCGCCCCCAGCATATTACTTACTATTGTTAGAAATATAGGCGACAAAGCCCCAGAATCAAATAGGTAGGTATCCAGGAATTGGATGCACTTTTCAACACGAACTCAAACGAGGAGTATTATATGTTTAATGTGTGTACGTGTGTACTTGTCAATGGTAACTTCTTAGCTGAATGGATCAACCAATTTTGATTTTTCTATGTTGTTTGATAAGGAACTTAGCCGAAACTCTTCTCAGTTATGATACCAAAAGTTGTGCCGTCGTTTGAAGTTAAAGAGTTTTTAGATTTTTGAACTATACTATAGATACCTACTTAAGAGATGGTTCTTTTCCTTCTTGAGCGCATCAAAGATCTCCGGCTTGACAGAGGTTTTCCTCAAATTTTCCAATTGGTAAGATAACTTTTTAACGTCATCTTGTAATTTTTGGTTCTCGTTGTACAGAAACGACTGATTTTGCAGCAACTGCTTGTTAACTTGCTCAAACTCAGGCGAATGCAATGAAGTCATTATATCACTAAGAATTTTTCAAAATACGAAATCCAAACTGACGTTGATGATGAGTGAACGGTGTCATCGCGGATGGAAAGTCAGAGTGACAGCTTTTGTGCTGCGGCGTTTTCATACAAGGTGGGTCCGTTCGAGATGGTGGTTAAGCTAAACAAATCTGAGTAGAGCACAATAATCAAATGCAAGCGAATAACCAAAATTTCTGTGTTATGTGCCGCGGTTATAATATGGTTCAAGATGACACACGGGTTGATGACGTCAGTTACACGAATCGCTTGAACGCGTTGGTTTTAACCGTGGTTTTGTTGCAAGTTGTTTATTTTAGAAAAGCGCGTATATAATCTCTGATTATTTTTATTATCACTTAATAATCGGTGCTTTTTCGTCTACAACTGTATATGGAAAGTTTAAATAAGAAACCTTTCATAATATTCATGGGAGAAATGTTTTTTTCAGATTTTTTTTTAATGATGGAACCATGGCTTTGTAGCTATGATAACTTTCAATTCTCTAAAATTTTCCGTATGTCAAAGAAAACATTTATTGATTCAGTAGAAATGATGAAAAAAGAAATTAGCAAAACCGTATACAGGTGGATATCATTTAGTGAGTTTATATGGCCATATTTTAATATTCTTGTGGTATATGGCTACACAGGATACTTTGTTAAGCATACGAACTACATTTAAAGTGTCCCCAACAACCGTAATGAGTATAACTAATAAGGTGCTCCACTTTATGTTAAAACTGAAGTCAGCCTGTATCATTTTTCTCAAAAATGAGGCTGAAGTACAATAACAATATCCAATACCCGGCAAAATTCTAACTTGTCACATTTCAAATAATAACCAGAAATATAAAACTACTCTTGAGTTGGGTAAATACCACAATTTTGCGGTGATAACTATGACATATAACAGCTGATTCGTGACGTCACGGATCTTATAACCAAACTGATAACTACACTCGCTTGAACGGATTGGTAAATACCAACCCAAAATGGTAAATACCATTTCCATTTGGTTATCCGCTTGAATTTGATTAATGATTTCTCCTTCGATTCAGAGCATGAGTAAGAATCAAGCAGACTTTTTGTAAAAAGGTACTCTCCTGGGTTGTAATTTATACCACCTCTAGCCAGAATGGTTTGTTTTCGGTTGGAAAATGAAAGTCGTAGTAAGGTTTCAAACTAATCTAAATTTTATTTTACGTTACAATACTAACTTGAAATATTTTACAATACATAAAATGTATAATATGACGAGCAAACGAGGAATCTCTGGAAAAGCATGAAGAACCTCTATTTATCATCTCGGGCTCGGATGCTTTCCTCAGCATTTTCTTCTTCCACGTGCATCCTTGTCTGCATCATAACTTGCATATCAAAAATTGTCAAGGGTGCCTCCCAACATTGGCGAATACTAAATGGAGAGAAAAGTTCGAGGTAAAGATTTTTACAAAATAAACGGAAATGCTTGCATTGAGTGATATGAATAAATAGTTAGGTAATAACTAAGTACTGCTCAAATGCCAGCGGTATTATGAGCAAAAAATAAAACAGCTTCAGAGTGTTCCTAAACTTGTACACTTTGCAAAGATTGTTGGGCGTAATAAAACCTTCTTCGGAAAAGTTACAAGCTTGAAATAATTCTAAAGGCGCTGCTGATTACTTCAAATTAGAGCGTACTCAGAAACATTATTATGGATTGTAGAAGTAATGATGCTTGAACAGAACACCTTTTTCCCGGAAACCTTTTTCATTAAATCATCTTGTAGGATCAAAAATAGGAACTAAGCTACCGTCACTAAGGCCCGTATCGTCAGTCGTCCCTACAATTGTAGGGCGCGTTTATGGCCTCCTTGATTGTCATCCTTCTTTCTCTCCTTTAAAAATTTCTAGATTACACTTGTCCCGTGTCAGCGTCAGCGCTATCCTATTGTGAAGATATGTTTTCTATTTAAATTGTAGGAAATTTCAGGCTGATAAAACATGATATAACTCAAAAGTAAGCACAATTGGATGCAAATAGATGTTTGTAACATAACCTCAAAATAGAGTTCTGATACGGAGAAGCAGAAAACTATGACAATCAAGGAGGCCATAAAGGCGCCCTACAATTGTAGGGACGACTGACGATACGGGCCTAAGGCTAGTATGACTGTGCGGAGTTGGTTTCTACTCATTGAGAGCAATTCCGCAGTCTTGCTTAGACATGGTTCCAAAATGAATCTTTGACATTTCTGCATCCAGTTACTAAGGCCTGTATCGTCAGTCGTACCTACAATTGTGGGGCGCGTTTATGACCTCCTTGATTGTCATACTCCTTTCTCTCCTTCAAAAATTTCTAGATTACACTTGTCCCGTGTCAGCGTCAGCGCTCTCCTATTGTGAAGATTTGTTTTCCTTTTAAATTGTAGGTAATTTCAGGCTGATGAAACATGATATAACTCAAAATCAAGTACAATTTGATGCAAATTGATGTTTGTGACATAACCTCAAAATAGAGCGCTGACACGGAGAAGTAGAAAACTATGACAATCAAGGAGGCCATAAAGGCGCCCTACAATTGTAGGGACGACTGACGATACGGGCCTTAGTCGAAAGATATAAGGATTTTGTGCTTGAGAATTTGTAATTAAGTTCATGACCAAAAGACTTGCGTAAAGCGGTAGATGAGTCTTTGCTCAATTGTTTTCATGCGCCAGGTTTCTTGTGATGGGCCTCCGTATCATCGATACGATTGTTACGGCAATCGCTATGCTCCTGTATTTAACCAACAGGATGATAATTTTACTGATTCTTCAGTGGACCGAACTAATCTATCCAGTGGATGTATACGTACAAGGAGATCTGAGCAAGCAGAAAGGACCCTTCTAGTCACATGGTAAATGTGCTCCTCTAGGAAAGCTACTTGAAAATTCTCTCAATAATTCAATAATTCACTGCGCGCTTACCAATATTTTATATTTATTTGAAATTAACAATTAATAATCACAAAAGTTCATAAAATTTTACCGGATAATATTAATATTTAATCGGACGGATGACAGCCTTCGAATGGGAATAATATGTTGATCGGTTCATCGCTTACAGATTGAAATTTGGGGCCGATAACACAGTTAAACAGAACCCCAATTAATGTCGGTTGTATTTGGCAATCCCATATATTATACCCATACGGGGGAGGTTAGGGAAATCCAAATCATTCGGTAAATGTCATTGAGAATGGGACGTCAATTTTGTCGTGATGCGAAACGTGTGCTTTAAAGCACAAACTTAGTTATTATCCGACTGCCTCGAAAGGAGGATTATGTTTTTCGCGCATGTGTAAGTAGAGGAGAATAATTCTAATGTAATGCCTGACAGCTGCACTGTGGTTTTCATATTCATAGGACTCCATTGTCTGAACGCTAAATCAAACCACATTATGTTTTAATTACTGTGTGACGTTTTGCCCCACAGTGGCCTTTTTCACATACAATTAATTAAAATTAATTTAAATGTCATTGTAAATTAACTTCAATTTTCTGTCATTGTACTCCAAAAGGGCCACCATTGTGACCGAAGCTTCGCAGAGTGCACAGTAATTAAAACATGAGCTATTAAATTTAGTGACCATACAATGGAGTCCTAAGAACAATTTTATTTGACGGGCTACAATCCAAACGGCTTGATAGGTTTTGACATATGATGTTGAATGTGCAAGTGACGATGGGTATACTAAAATCTTACAAAATGAAAATGACGGATTTTAAAACTTCACCTTTGAAATTTCTATTTCGTAGGCTACAGCCCTAATGGCTCGTTGGATTTTGACATTTGAGGTGGCGGTGTATTCGTTTTGACAATTGTATCGGATAGTGCAAAAACCTCGTAAGGCCAAAGTTAAAATTTTTTAGGAGACAAGTTTTCACTGACAAATGAACCAGATTTAAATTTCGAATAACCACAGTTCGTTAATGATGATAATGGAAAAAGCCCAAGAAAGTGTGATGGACTTACATTGTTTTAGCAAACTTAAACAAAAAAATCATTTTTTTATTATTAAGAATTATGCCATAGGTTTTGCATGCTTTAACATTTTTAATGTACCTGAGGGAAACCCGAGCAAAGAGAACACCTGCTAAATTCAAATTTTCCGTTTTACGTCTAAAGATGAAAGTTGTAAAAGAACTCACGTGCTTATTAGAATACCAGGCATGAAATGTATTTTTTCTTCAAAAAAAGCATTGTCATTGCAAGATGGGTGTTGTGAACGCAATTCCATGTTTATACTATCTATACGAACACCTATTTAAAATCTTTAGTGCATATTTAAAGAACCTTCTGTCAGACGAATGAGAAGGATTGAGTGAATGGTTCTGGTAGGAAATCTTAATCAATTGACTTCAATCAAAGCGGATGAGACCTATAATCTTATTTTTGTGGTGAGCGAAATCAAAATTGAAAAGAAAACCGTACAAGATACTGTTTTTGAAATGTGTCATCCAAGTACCCGCCGTCGAGAAGTGCGTGCAAAAACCACGTCCCGGACCTACTTTTTGGGCTGAACGTATATTAGGTCGCGTTATTTGAAAGGGAAGGAATAAACTGACTTAACGAGATGTATACACAGAATACAAAACTATCTTTATTGAAGTATCATATGTTGGTAAAAAAAATATGCCTAAGTGATTTTTGCACTGACCTATTCAATTTAAGTTTCCATCTTTTCAGCTGCTACACTAGGGCTTTTCGTATTTTCCGTAAATGTACGTGTCATTCTTATTTAAATGGCACGGGTATGCCATTATGTACATCTAAAAATAACAGAAGGTATAAAATGCCCAAACACAAAGTTGAAATTTTCTGCGCAACTGATGAGACTGATTAATGGCAAAACGTGAATATTATTCCACTGACGCTGCGTTATGGTGAGATGGGATCTCATACTACAGTTTTATATTTTCAAAAAAGGAAGAATTTCATTTTGTTATATGGATTGTAACCCAAATTTCGATGCCACTGATGTAGTAAAAGCACTCGATATAATAATCTACTCCGGACATGTGATATTCTGGACTTTGAAGTTGTGACTTTACCAGCCAGTTTTCTGGTAAGGTAGTTTTCCAGGGTCCTTGTTGATAAAGTTACTCTGTGGGGT